ATATTTTAATACTATCACAAAGATTTCTAGTATTGAAACCATATTTCTTGACACTATTTGAAGGTGCGCTTTACTTTGATGGTTTAAAGCCTCAACTCTGTACAAACCACATCCTAAATTAAATACATACATGTATTATGTATATATTATAACTAAATATATATAATTTTATTTATTTAAATATTTTAAAATATTATTAAAGTATTGTATATTAATATTGTTTAAATATTACCACTATTTGGATCGGGGGCCGGACCCAGATCCGGGTCGGGTCTACATGGACCTGGACCAAGACCCAACCTGCCCAATCCAATTTTTGACCATACCATGACCCAGGTCGGGTCGGGTCTGGTCTATTGCCACCCCTAATCTTACGAAAACTGCACAGAGATAAAGAAAAATAAAAACCATTTTTGTAACTCCAATAGCTGTGAATGTGAGATTCCAATTTAGCCGGGCCAAATAGGAGAAAAAAAGAACAAAACCAAAATATTGGCTTGAATTTTTAACTATTTAAGTTGTAGTTTATATCCATTCAATCCCTATCATTAAATAGCAAGATCCTACATCAATTGGGATGGGCTTGCTTTGGACTTTAAGGCCTTGTCTGAATAGACCACTAATCAGGATTCATATTGTTTTCTCCCTCCGGTTATGCAGGGATGCCATCAAAAGTTCGCAGCTTATTTCTGAATATTGCTTTTGGCACTCTGCTTGTGCAGAAAATGCCACTTATCATAAGCTAGTTTTAAACTATCTTAAAAATAGATTTTTAATTTAAAATTATAGGGATTCAATCTAGATTTTATTTTTAAAAATTAAAGGTGATTGTGACCGCTTTACATTGAAGGAATCTTATTATATATTTGAGAAAGATTTATATACTTTCCTACAACATAGAAGATCTATGTTTCCCCTACCTTCCAGCCGTCTAATTTTGATAAGGTGAGCCACTCACCATTTGATATTAGATTTGACACCTCATAGTATTTTACTTTTAATGCTTTTTATACAAATTGTATGAATATGAAATTTGATACGTGCCATCTTCTCATTGGGGAACACCTATAAAAAATGTTAACAATAATTTTTTTATAAAATATAATGACCAAAATACCCCTTAAAACTTTCATAGGTATTTTGGATATTTTATTTTTATTGAGAATATATTTTTTAGAAGTTCGAGTTTAATAGAGGATTGGATGCCCAAAATTTGGTGACAAAATAGTTTATAAAAAAATATTAAAAACAAAACAATGTAAAGACATGACATTGTGATTAGGGCAATCTTATCCCTCCATTCAAAATTGATGGTTGGATAAGGGGAAGTATATAGATTTTATGTTGTAGAAAAAGCATAAAAAGCTTGCCCTATATACTTTTCTTTCGAAAAAAACAAAACACTATTTTTTACTTTTTTCTATAATGCTAGGACTTAGGAGGAAGAATAACCTTAGGAGCGTGGTCCAACCTACCCTAGACCAAAAGCCTAGTGCTAAGCATTGTATTTGAATAGGTAAAGAGTAAAAGAAAACTGTTTCTTAGTACAAAAGAAGTCAAAATAACTCTTGATTTTTAAAAGTAAAATAAGATGGTTAGAGAAGCACCATTACCGCACTTAGAGAAATGACACACCCTAGTTGTCTCAATTTTCATCAAACGGCTTGGTGGGGTTTGTGATTTTTGTGCGCAAACAAAACAATGATATTTTAAGTAGCTAGTAGCTAGCAGTTGAGGTTAGCAATAATACATATCGAGTTCGACTCTTACCCCTGAATTCTCAAAAAATAAAAGATATTAGACTCGTTGAATGCATCACATTTTGATATTTTCAAACAAGCCATCAGTGTTTCCAAAAATCAAACTGGTCTCTAAATTGGGCAAGGGCTAGTGTAAGTAACCGGTAAATCGACTGGTTCAATCGACCTAACCGAGTATGTCCCTACCCGTCCAAAATGTACTTAAAAAATAAAAAATGCAAAAAAACTAAAAAATATGAAAAATATATTGAAGCTGAAAAGTAGTGAAAAAATATATTTTTTAAAAAGTGATTTGTGCCCAAGGGTATTTTAAAAAATAAAAAATCGAAAAATATAAAAATAAGTATTCATGGCCAAAACACTTCCAATCCTTGCTAAAATGATAATAATAATAAAAAAACACATTACAAACAAATCTCTCATCTTTTGGGATTATATATATATATATATATATATATATATGTATATATTAAACTACCTGACCGGGCCACCAAAACCGGCCAAAACAATTCCAATCCTTGCCAAAATGAAAAATTATTTAAAAAAACACATTACAAACAAATCTCTTATTTTTTGGGATTATATATATATATATATATAACTTTAATTTTTTTAAACTACCCGACATGACCACCAAAACCGATCAAAATCGGATCGACAAGTGCCCAATTCCAATTTGACCGACCAGTTCGGATATTTTGAATGACATATTTTGCTATCAAGATGAAATAGAGTTTTTGGAACCTCATAAACTCAACAAGAGACATGGATCGTTAGCGTCATTTTCTACTTTATTTCATGAAGATAGCACATTCCCTTCCACGTTTGTAATGATTCATTTCTTAGCACAAGTAGTCGATCATATTATCATTGATTCATTTCTATAATTGTTGATTGTATATCTATTGGTTCCTTATCATAGGTGGGGGGAGATCTTTTTTAAGAAGCTTGGCTTTTGAACACGTAACCTTAATTGTGGTTTTCAAATTAGGCTTCATAAATTAGGCAAATTATCATCGACTTTGTTAGATGAGATTGTCTACAAAGATACCATTTATCTTTTTTTACAAGGAGGTCTCAAGTATTCTCACTCATTAGATGTCAAATTGGATGGTTTAAGATGAATCATGAAGTTCAATAATTTTTTTGGAACTTTGTGCCTATTCAATAGCACTCTTATGACAACCCATTTTGAAATTTAAGAGACAAGAATGATTGCGACCTCCTTGTACATAAGATAAATGATCTCTTTGTAGATCACCCCTGGTTAGATATGCTAACATATCATATGTTCATGGCGGAGTATAATGTAGATTTACTCTCTTCGTTAAAACCCCATGTGGGAGTAATTTTAAGACTCTAAAATTTGGACATCTACCTCCTTGACTAATATCCAACTTTCAAAAAAGGAAAAAGTTTATATAAAGTTACAATCTTATACTATTGAAGCAAGGTGCACCTCACAAATCTCATAGAAGAGATTGTTTTGACACTGACCGGGGATAAAAAGAAAATTACTCACATTGAACAAATGGAGCTAATGCCCTAAAAGGGGTGAAGGGGTTTGGGGAATCCAAAGCTAAAAAGAGATGGGGAACAGGGGAGAAGTGGAATCCAAAAGATTTTTCAATCAAGGGCTAAATGGGTTTGATAAATAATAGGCACTCTAAGATCTTTTTCAAACATGCTCCCATTTTGAGTCAAGAGATAGATAAATAGACATAAGAGATAGATAAATAGACACATCCCATTACATTAATCGACGTAGTGGCTGAGGTAGGTTTAATAAATAATAGGGACTTTAAGATCTTTTTTAAACCTGCTCCCATATTGAGTCATAAATAGACACATCCCATTGCACTGATTAGGGGCGTTCGTAGTGGCTGAGGAGATCGAAGACCAAGAAGTGAGTTATAGTTTGATAACCCTTCAATTAATTATCTCGATATGTGCATGAAAAAAAAAAGAAAAAGAGTTTCATATCCAAAAAATAATTCATCTTGTAATAAGTTATTTGTACCCGTCTTAAATAGTCTTTCAAGTGTTCATTGAACCGTTCGATTTGTACCATTTTTAAAATTACATATTTTTATCTAAGAATGAAAATAGATTTTCATGCAGTCATACTAGAACAATATCTCTAAACAAATTTAAGAAGTGAGCTTTACGTGTACGGTATAAAGAGGCAACTTTATACAACATCACCCTTCAAAACAAGAAAAGAAATAGATGCACTTTTCGTTTGTCCCTTAAAAAATAATGTTGTATATTTTGAATACATGTTGTCGAAGAGCTCATAATCAATTTATTTTCTATTTTGAACCGACTCCTCTGGCGATTCTAAGTGAATCCCAAATTTTGAAATAGAGAAAGCCCTCTTGTTAAGCAGGGGTTTTTTTTGACTCGAGGGACATACTTTTCTCATCAAATCACAATTTAAGTATAAAGTACAGAGTTTGTACTTAAGCCATTCCAGGAGGGAGGGAGGCAGTCATATAACTTGGTGTAAAAAGGCATTGGATCGTTGTTTAATGAGGATGAGGAAACAATAACGTTACGGGGACTGATTTTGAAGATGGAGGGGACGATTGTAAAGGATTGGTTGGGGTTCGTGAATACAACTTGCGTGGTATATTCCTTCTCTGAGACAGAAAGTTTCATCGTTTTCCACGACAAACTCGCGGTGGATGACGTTTTACGAATCATAGATAAAAAAAAGGTTGTTAGGTCATGAGGTACGAGAGAAGGAAGAGTTTTGGCTCTTTCCCTTTCCCTTTCCCTTTCCCTTGCTGTAAATCTCTCTCTACAAAGAAAGAGAGAGAGAGAGAGAGGGGGTTTATTTATGGAACAAGTAGCAGAGCGAGCGTGAGGAGTCCCTCCTCTCTCTCTCTCTCTTTCTCTCTCTCTAAATTGTTAAATTTAGCAGGGATAGAATATGATAGCCCCACCCTACCCTCCAAGATTCCTTCCCCTAAAAACTTACCAACCCCAATTTTCGAAACAAAAAATCTACCGTAAATTCCTACATATCAACTAAACCTACTTGAAGAAATATAAAATTTTTTTTTTTTTTTGTATCCATGCAAATTATCTGGCTACGGTGAATATCTCTTCAATATGTACTTTTTCCTGGATTTTATCACCTTTTTTCTCTCTATTTTTTTACAACCTCAGAAAATCAATTCTTCATTTTTCCTCTATTTTTCTGTAACCTTGGAAAATCAATTTCCATTTTTTTCTCTGTTTTTCTTTTCAGCCTTTGGGAAAAGGATACCTGATATTAAATTTTCAAGTTGTTGTGACGCATTGATGGTTCCAAAGAGCCATGTGGTTTCTCTGGTCTTGACACCTCCAGCTAGCTGGAATATTCAAACTTTTCGGCCACTTTCCGGCTATAAAACTCGCCGGAATATCTTTTTCCGACCATATCTCAGACTCTCTCTCTTCAATCGCATTTTCAACCGGTTTTACTGGATCTTCTACTTCTCTCTCTTCTTCTTCTTCTCTCACTTCTTCTTCTTTATCAGAACTTCTGATCATGTGAAGGCGCAGCCTTCCATTTTCACGGCAAGCCCTAAGAACTTCTTGCCTCAAAATGACGACTTCTCTGAGTATAAATCGGCCCTCCGTTTTCACTGGTTTCAGAAAGTAGCTCACCTGGCCATTTTTGCTCAATGTAGAGAGAGGAGGGGGGAAATTCACCTTTGATCTCAGCAAAAGCTTCCTTTTATACCTTCTCTGTAACATTGAGCTCTCTTTCTCACTCCTCCTGCTCTCGATTCTGAGCTCTGCTTCCTTTTCCTCAGAACTCTCGATCCCTAGGCTCTCTGTGCACGAATTCAAGCCATGAACGCCCCATTCAGGGCATTTCGCTGGAAAAATCTTGCATTCCGGTCTATCCGACTGTTTCCTGGCAAGTTTTGGCGGAATACTCTTGTTTTTTGCAGGAAAAATCTCAGATTTTCTTAGTGCGGAAGCTACTAGAATGTTTGCTGGCTTTTGAAGCTCCTTGTTGATCAGGATGAGGAGACCAGCGGAATTATGGAGATTCTGGCCTTTAATGTGTGTTTTCGGGCAATCGTCCTGATTTTTCAGCCGGTCTGAGTCGTCGGAAAAGCAGAGGAAGCTCCTGCAAAGGCTCTGCATGGCGCATCTAGAGAGAGAAAATGAACATACAAGATAGAGAGACAACGACTAAATTGGGAGGAGGTTTGAGAGAGAGAGAGAGAGAGAGAGAAAGAGGGGAGTTTTAGAGAGAGAATATGTAGAAAATAGAAACTGAGAGAAAGAGCAATGAGGGGTTAGAGAGAGGGACCCGGTTTTTATGCAGCCAAATCCGCATAGGTGGAACTGCCGGCTTATTAATAAATTTATTTTTGAGATTGATTTTTGAATTTAAGTTTGAAGGATATATATGGAGTGTGAAAAATAAGTAAATTTTAAAATTAAAAATATTAATTTTAGTAAAAAAATGTTTGGATCGATAATTTTTATTGTTTTTAGATAAAATACTTACTTACATCTGTCTTAAAACTAAATAATATATATATATATATTTTAAACAATATATATAGTCCAGCCCGCATGAAACAATTATCCTGTAGAGAGAACGGATATAAGGGTTTTGGGGGCGCGGAAATACACATAGGTTGGCAAATGATATTACTATTTAATTTTAAAATAAATTTGACAATCGATATGTGCGCACGTAAGGTACGCTGGAATATTGGGTGGAAATAATAATAATATGGGTGTATATAACATCAAAATTGCAAAAAAAAATATGAAAATTTATCTATTATTTATATTTATCCGAAAAATATAGTATTGTTTAATTGTTATTCTTATTATCCTCATACAAGAGATAAGCGGTAACGTCTCAAGGGGATTGGAGCCCTGAACCAACACCGCATGATGAGCTGGACCTCCTATGATTGGTGGGGCCTACCCATTTGCCACATAGGCCTCCACCACTGTCTTCCCCTCTGTCTATGCCGACCTCTTCACTCTCTCTCTCTCTCCATCTCCATCTCTCTACTCCTCTCTATTTTCTTTTTTCTATTTTTTCGATAGCCCTTTCACTCGTGTTTTTTTTGACTCTTGCCCTCGATTAGGGTTGAGAATTTACCCATTAATAGATCATAAAATGAGAGAGAGTAGATTTGGATGAATAATACCAACCAAATAAAACGCTTGTTAAGATGTGAGAATTAGTTAAAGTGGAATAACTGAAAAGAGCAAAAATAGGTTCAAAATAATATAGTTGGAAGTAGTCCGAAAAGATATAAAGACTTATGACTGCACTAAAGAGGTTTTTAACAGAGCATATTGGAGAACCAAAATTCATGTAGCCGACTCTAATTAATTGAAAAAAAAAAGCTAAAATGATGATGATTTAGATTCAAGATTTTGATCCAATGGGTCGGATCCAGATCTAAAATTTAGATCCAAATATTAATTTAGATCAGATTTAGGTATAGGTGGATCTCATCTGGATCCGACCCAGTTATTCAAATATTATATACTATGTTATATATGGAGAATGATCATGTGTATTTTAAAATAATATATATTGATTTAAAAATCAGTTTGGATACAAATGTAATCGGATTGGATCTAAATTATTATTTGAATCTAAATTTTGGATCCATATCAGAATTATAGATCCAAATCTCGGATCTATATCTAAATTCGAATAGAATATAAAATTGAAGTTTCAGATATGGATCAAGTAAATTCTCAACCTTAACCCCAAAAGACATAATAGCCAAGACCCTACTAAAAAACATTTAGGTCAAGTTAGAACGAAGGCTAGCCCAATACCTTGCTAGCCTTAAAAGCACCCACACAAGTACTAAAGAAGACATCGAGAGAACCGTAAACCACACGAATCAAGGCGTTTGATAGTTAGTTATTCAAAATAACAGCCCAATCGCTTTTCCCAACATCTAATAAAGGCACCTTTAGTCATCCCTTATCCTTTCGTCTTTCACAGTTGAAGCTTCTATGCAGCCATGACTATAAATAGAAGGTTCCATGGCGTTATGTCATAAAATGGAAGCTCCCATGTGGGATCAAGCAACATCTTACTCTAAAAAGAATCTATAAATAGCTTTGGAAATTTACCCCCTAGGCTTAAAAATAAAAGGCCTCATAAATAACGCATATATGATTCATGAGAATACTTTTCGTGATCGTTTCCTTTTAATTGAACGGACATGCATCCTATACAAATAGTGAGAAAGATTGCGGATCAAAATTACCCCCCACGAAAAAAAAAAAAAGGGATAAAAAACTTCTCTAGTCTACTCTCTCTCAACCACCACGATTGTGAATTCAAAATGTCTTTTGAATCTAAAAAATGCTCGATCTTTTTTTATTTTTTGGGTTGTTTGTTTCAATTTTTCAAAGATTGTTAGACTAGGATTTTGGAGCTCCTTACTCACGGGTCTCGAGTGGACAGAGATTTTCGATGATTTAAGATATGTTATGGGTCCTAAAATACCTAAAACCTACGAAAAGCCTGGCATAAACATGAGTTAGCAAACTCACCAAAAAAAAATTTATAAAGAAAAAAGATTTTGGGTTGTCACTGATTTTCTTTTTAAGACTTTGAGTTCAATTAGTGGGACACTTCTTGTCGTCTGATTTCACATCATCCAATATCTTGTGACCTTGTACTGAGGAGACTATTATATACTTGTTTAGGTTGCCTTATTTTGACATAGTGAAGGGAAAAAAAAGAAGAAGAAGAAAGACAATGTGTGATATTTTGAAAGGTAAAACTACAAAGTGTGGTATTTTGTGCTCATAGAAAATACATATTGATATCTAGGTTGGGTTGCATGATATATTAATTATTTTGGAGGCGGTCTTGTTTTCTTTGGGATAAAAACAGTGTGTTATTAAAAAGAAGGCATTATAATTTGCACTAGCAAGGGGCATATAAAAAAACAATTCAACTATTGTGATTGCAGATTCAAAATAGCAAAATGGCGTTTGTTCTATGCTTAAGATTTGAGGATTATAAATTCGGTTTTCAATAAAGTTAACAATTTTCAAATTTTAATTGCCATTTTTTTTTAAAAAAAGGTTAACATTCTTCAAAATAGGAGATAGTCTATCTCTACTCACATTCAGAAGGTTTACTATTTGGTTGGATGACGATGAAGCATTTATTGAAGGAAAAAGTTTAGATAAGGATGCAACCTTATAATGTAGAACTATGGATGCACTTCAAAAATCCATCGGAAAAGGTAGTTTTAATGTTGAAAAGCCCTTTGATTGATCATCTCGACATCGAGATGTACGACCATGAAAATAAAAATATTTTAAGTCTCAGAAATAGTGCATTTTACAACATATTATCTACACCGTCTATTTTCAAGATTTTCATATGTTTATAGATCTACTTGATTTTAACCATTTTTTAAATTTAAAATTTTATAATTAGATATAAAAATAGATTTTGAGATAATCCTAAAAATTTTTTACATCAAAATTATATACCATGATAAAATTTGAAGGTGTACCTTACCTCTACAGCTACGGATGCATCCGAAGGCCAACTGTAGACTTGTGATGGTTGGAAGCGAATCATTGAGAGATTAGAAATAAGGTTTGAAAAGTTGGTAACTTATGCGGAAGATGAGATGCATGAAAGAGACATTGTCCAACCTAAATATTCATGTCGAACAAAATGATAGTATACTTCAATATGCTTGATACACTCATGGAACTCCGAGTTTTTAGCAATATAAATTGCATTGTTGTTATCACAATATAAGGGAGTACGAGCAAAAAGTTCCACACCCAAGTTAGCTAGTAAACAACGAAGCTAGACAATCTTTGGGTGAGCCGTAGCTCGATTCTTAGCTTCAGTTGTAGAGTGAGCAATATATTTTTGTTTCTATCTCTTCCATGAAAGATGGGAGTCACCAAGGAAAAATAAATTGTAGTGGACTTCTGATAAAAAATGTCTCATGTAAAATAAGAGTCCGCATAAGCACATAGATTAAGAGTGGAAGACAAAGAGAACAACAGAGCATGATCGTGTGTGTCTTGAGTGTAATGAATAATACATAAGTGAATAGAACGACGGGCGCTCAAGAATTAACCAAGAAGATTAACGGGATGAGCATTATCTAGTTGAGAGATGGTTAAATAAATCAAGTTTCCACTAAGCACCTTTAAAATGTAGGATTAGGAAGGAGTTCACCATATGCAAAGTGAAGTTTGACATTCAACTTATTAGGGATGTCAACATGCTTTGTAATATCAGTCAGATGATATTGAGAAACAATATATGTGGTGTACTGAAGTTGAGAAAACATATACTTATGGGAAGAATAAGATGGCTGATTTAAAAACCTAATAGGGCTGAAATGAATTAAGACGATGTAGAAATTTTTTGTAAAAAAAAATCACATTTTAAATATTAATCTAAATCACAAACCCCTAAAATTTTGGATTAAAAATCCATTTTTAAGTTAGGTTTAAGTGGGGGCCCGCATGTGCACAGTATGAGTCAGCTGACTCATAGAAACCCTATCCTTTAGAAACCTCAAAACTATCACTACCATATATGGATCCTAGAAAAGAAAATATTGTAACAAGGTTGCAACCCTATCAAAATAAGTAAAGCTAAAAAAAACAAAATTTAAAAATTTTAGTTTTGGAAATGCAACAATAGAAATATTAATCTTATCTTTTGAGATAATGTAATCAGACAGGAAATTGTATATTGCATATAACAAGATGAAAAAATATCAAACATTTATTGTATCAATATTATATATACAGTGAAAGAACCACTATAATGTTAGTATGAGGTACAATTATTTTTCAAAAGCTCATTTTTCTCTCTAAAATTCTTTATGATATCAGAGCTCGGTACTTCAACTGACAACCTTCACTCACGATATTTTTCTTTCCACGGTGCTTCAACCAGCGACCTTCACTCACGTTTTTTTTGTTGTTGTTAAGTCTTCCCCTTCAGACCAACAATCCTTTACCTTCTTCACACGCTCTCCTTCTTCCAAACCCTTTAATTCAATTCAAGCCATACTCTTTAATTCAATTCAAGCCATTACCTACTTACATCTTCCATCTATCTCACGTCCAACCTTTTTTTTTACACCCTTTTTAACTCATAATATTCTCTCACTTCTTCCCAAAGTTAAAAGATTTCATCTCTTGATGGTAAGAGTGAAATCAAAAACCCAGACTACAAATCATGGCTAACGTCCGATCGGCTTCTTAAAACTT